AAGGCCTGGGGGAAGGAAAGTGGAGGGGGAGGCGGTGGCGACGTCCAGCCTGAGAACCTCAGGAGAGGGAGGTGACGGGACGCTGCGAGGTGGGGGAAGGGAGCAGCGGAGGGGGGCGTGCAGGGGAGATGGCAACTGTGGGAGAGGGCAGGGGTCGAGGCGGAGGAGCGGGGCATGGGGAGGGGCGTAAACAAGGGCCGAGACCGGGCCGGGCCAGGGGTATTAGAGAGGCCGAGGTGGGGAGCGGAGCTGCGATCCGGCCGGGGCGAAGGGGTAGGGGCCGGAGGGAGAGGCAGAGGGTGTGGAGGGAAAGGGGCCTTGTGGCGGGAAATTGGACTTAGGATGTTGCGGGGGGGCGGGGGTTTGGAAGTGTTAAATTGGAGGTGGGAGGGGGAAGGGCCGGGGTGGGGAGAATTGGGGTGGAAAAGGAGAAAACGGAGCTTTGAGGGAGAGAGTGTAGAGGTGTGACGAGGTAATGGAGAAAGTGAAAGACTGGGAGGAAAGTTTGGGAGGAAGGGGAGCGGGGTGGGAGATAGGACAGTGGAGCTGCACGGGTGATAGAGGTTTGGGGGTTTCCCTTTCCTCCGTGGAAAGGAAGAGCAAGCAGAGTTAAGCAGCATCAGTTGCAGCCAGTTAATTGCCAGGCCCTTAGCTTTTAATAGGGTGGGAAGGACAGAAGGGATTGGTCATGTGGGCTTGGAGAATTGGGGTTGAACGAGGGTTCAACTGAAACTCCTTCCAAAACGCTCCTAGCTTACTACTCCGTTTTTGTTTTTTCTGGTTACAAAAAGAGGTGAAAATGGGGAGGCTGCTGTCATCCAAGTGTAGAGGAATAAAGGACTTTTCTAGTTTTTGGCAATTAGCAATACCAGGATGGGGAAACAAATGGGGCTATATTGGAGCCCCTGTTTGCTAAAGTGGAGGCTCTGCAAGTCTGAGGGAGGGACCCAGGACAGGACGGCATCTATTTCAGTAGCCAGGCTAATTAAATGGGTGCTGATGTTTCTAGACCCTTCTAGTGCTCTTTAAGTGCTCCGAGGCAGGGGACCAATATGCATATATAGAGAAAACATTCCTTTTTGAAATGTAGATAGGTGATGGAGGCTCCCCAGGGGGATAGTTTGATCTCATTGTGTGCTAGTTAAGGGACAGGGTGAAGATAAAATTGGAGGATAGGTCTGGTTTGATCAGTGAAGTGATGGGAAGAACGTGCATTCTTTGACTTTCTAAAGATGAAAATCCATTTTAGTATTGCGACAAAATAGGTGGAAAAAGGAATTGGAGAGCAAGGTGATCATTGAGGAGGGTGTTAGATGGGGGGTGGGGTGGGGTGGTCATTGGTTTTCCCAGCCGTTGTTCAATTTGGGAGCTTTCTTGCCATGAGCCACAGACTGGAAATTCTCCTAGCTGTACGTTTGTGAATTGACTAGTAGAGAGTTAGGGAAAGCGGGGAACTTTATTGGAGGTGAATTCTCTCTCCTGTAGCTTGGGGTGGATCATTTCAAGAAATGGCTTTAGGCTTGTCTGTGTTTTTGCAACTGTGATGACTATGAGCTTTTGAAGTTTCAGAAGAAAGTTGAAAATTGACT